GAAATATCTGAATAATGAAGTAAATAACAGTTAATGAACAGTTAACAAAGATAAAAATTACTGACTTATTATCATTCTTATTAGCTATTCCATATGATCGGTATCAATCACTTTAGAAGCTTTTGATTATAATTTTGCTAAAACAGCATTATATTAGACCTTATAATTAACAATCACATAATTGTTTGGTAATTAGCAATGAATATGACTACTAAAGAGTAATCATTCACAAGTGATTTTTATTTGCTTGGAATGAAAGAAATGCATAAAACTTAACAATTAAACCTAACTTATTTCTAAATTCATTTGGTGTTGTTTTACTTGTATCTTCCCATTGTTATTTAGGACTGTAATTGATCAGTCACATGTTGGCATATGTGCATCCTATACAGATTGCCTCGATACAGCCTTAAGTCACAAGCTTTTTGTTTCGTTAGGGAATGGTTTTGCTAGTCCTACATTTAAACCAGTTAAAATGGATGTACCTGAATTCAGCCTTTTGGTTGTTAAAACATTCCAAAAAATAAATATTTGGATATATTTGATTTTCATTTATTTATCAATTAAAATTTATTTGCTTATACATAGGAATATTTTTCTCTGTAAACTATCAATTTGGATCCGCCAGACATATTCAACATTTCCTAAGTTACAAAAGAAAATTCACAAAACTAGTCATGAGTCAATTTATTTATATTAATGTCATGATAATGAAATTGATTTATTTAAGACAGTAAAATAGGCATTGATATTCATAACATAAAATATCCAGAAGAAATTATGATAACATAATGAAAGGTGTTCATTTGAATCAACGTCATCAATTTGTGCATTTTCAGTGCACCTACTTACTTACTCCTGTTACTCCCAATGGAGCATAGGCCGCTGACCAGCATTCTCCAACCCACTCTGTCCTGCGCCTTCTTTTCTAGTTCTATCCGATTGTTGTTCATTCTTCTCATGTCTGTCGTCATTTCTCGACGTAATGTGTTCTTTGATCTTCATCTTTTCCTTTGGCCTTGAGGATTCCATGTGAGGGCTTGCCTTGTGACGCAGTTGGGTGCTTTTCTCAATGTGTGCCATATCCACTTCCAGTGCTTCTTTCTGATTTCTTCTTCCACTGGGATCTGGTTTGTTCTCTCCCACAGTAGGTCGTTGCTAATAGTGTCCGGCCAACGGATCTGAAGTATTTTGCGTAGACAACTGTTAATAAACACCTGTATTTTCTGGATGATGGCTTTCGTAGTTCTCCAGGTTTCTGCCCCAGTAGACAGTAGAACTGTCTTGACATTTGTATTGCGAATTCTGACCTTGGTGTTGGTTGACAGTTGCTTTGAGTTCCAGATGTTCTCCAATTGCAAATATGCTGCTCTTGCTTTGCCGATCCGCGCTTTCACATCTGAATCAGATCCACCCTGTTCATCAATGATGCTGCCCAAATATGTAAAGTTTTTTACATCTTCCAAATCTTCTCCGTCAATTGTGATTGGATTGGCGCATGTTGTGTTGTATCGGAGAATCTTGCTTTTCCCTTTGTGTATATTGAGACCTACTGCTGCTGAGGCTGCTGCTACATTGGTCGTCTTCTCCTGCATTTGTTGCTGCGTATGCAATAGAAGAGCCAGATCATCTGCGAAGTCTAGCTCGTCCAGCTGCATCCTAGATGTCCATTGTATCCCGTGCTTCCCTTCAGACGTTGACGTCTTCATGATCCAGTCGATCACCAGGAGAAAATTCGTGTTTAGTAACTCTATAATTATAAACCGTTATCTAACTAGTAAAAAACATAAAACTATGCATTTTTTTCTGTTTCCATCGTTTACTCCACCTGTACATAAAAAATTCAACATCTGGATTGAAGAATCTTGAAGAAAAAAATTGAATGATTTACTTATAAAAGGGTAGTTGAAATTTACATCACAAAAGAACCTTATTTAAACGATCACTGAAAGCCAGGAAACACTTTTAGAGTTACTTGGTTTTTCTATGGGACTTTTTAGAAATGTAAAATCTCGACTCAACTGGGAATCAAACTCAGATACTTTAATCCTCCAGGTGAACGCTTAGCCTTTTTACTACCTAGTCGGCATTCAATATTTTACATTTCTAACCTTATTCAAGGTCATTCTATGACATAAAATCCAAATACTTTCACAAATCTTGCATTCATGGATCGTGGATGTAGACTTCTAAAGAGTCCCATATTAGTACGAAAAAGCCATTCAGTGTTTCCAGATTTTCAGTCGTAGTGTAACTTAAATTGGTTCACGATTTCAATCAAATTCAATAGTAAAATATTTTATTTTGACACAAATCAACTATTTTACAGGCACAGTTTACTGAACAACCTTTTGTAAATCAAGAACAATCAACATAATGGAATGAAGTAAATTCATTCCATTTCATATCCTTTACATTTTTCAAAGATGTAAATATTTTTTTTAGTTTTAACAACCTTCATTATTGACACCCCTTTATTGTAACCAATGAGTAAATTAGATTATAAGATTATTTTTGTTATAAGATGATATTCGCGAGAGAATTATTAAAAATTTAAGAGAATATCGGCTAGTTATTTCTTTCTGAATTCGAACTTCTTAATAGTACATAGAGTCTAATTTAAAACCTTCTGATCTTGTGTTGATCATGATATATTTAAATATATCCTGTTTTATCAAATTGTATGTATGATTTTCCTATAGTTGACTGTATTATGAACTGTGTCTCACTTATTTGTCACCTACATAACTTGAATGTAGAAACCACCACTCAAGATAAGTTTTGTGAGTCAGTGAAAAGACTAAAATATACCCGATGAAATGAATTCACTTTGTTATTCCTTTTTTTTCTCTTAATTTACTTAACAATTGGTTATTGTTAACATGGTCAGTGTGAATGCTTTTAAAGAAAATATCAAACAGTGTTACAGTCATACTTATTTTGAATTCACTCGACTTAACCAGATCACAAATACGTGGAAAATAACAGTAAAAATTGCTATTAAACTAAAATAGCTACTTGAAAACTAAGAGATAAATTATATGGTGTACACATAATCGCTCCATATTAACTTAGTTGACCGATTTATAAAATGATATTTGAAAAAAAAATGTATTAAAATTAGGCTTACTATTATTCGATATAAGTAGTTAAACCACTTTCGTCTTTCGATAGATCCCTCTAATTAGATTAAATGGTATAACATATGAAAATCTCCGTTCCACTAAATGTCATTAAATGCAACAAAATGAATTTGGCAGCTACTGAGTGTTTTGCTTTTTCGTGTAGGGTCCACGATTAGTTTGACTTACATACTAAATCTCTGAAACTATCTAGAATGTTACCAGTTATTTAAAATTATCAATAATACATAAAATCAAAGCAAATAATAGTAGTGGTCACATTTATACATGGTTTATATGTAATTAAATGACATTTAATATTTCATTTAAACTGTTGTATTTTTTAGCGAAGAATATTCTTTAATCCATAACCATTAGTTTGCAACATGGACACTAATGAGCTTGAAGTCTCAGTGTTTAACAATGTATTTGGCTTCTAAATAAAACTATTTAAAACGAGATATATGTTCGTGAAATAAAAATAATTCAGCAAAATATTAAATGACTTCCATACATAGTAGAAAGACGCTACACATTCTATTGTTTAGTTCAAAACTTACTATTTAGAATGAGTATGTCGTCAGTCAGGATGAAAAGAAAAACTGTCTATCTTTAGAGAATTCGAGTGCAAATGTTTGTTCATTATTCGATTAAGACATTTAAACAAAACATTTTCTATAGAAAAATTGGTTGAGCTACACAATACTTTCATCTTTTCGTTTAATAAGTCCTCTTGTTGTATGTTCTACTTATATCGATATATATATATATATATATATATATATATATATATATATAACGCTAGTTAGGAATAAAATGTCTGGCAGCGGATTTCCGAGAAGATTGAGCAGAAAAGAACGGGAAAAGAAAGCAATTGGTATGGAAATACAGGAATAATGAAGTTTGAGACAATTAATGGATATTTTGCAAATGAACTATTTATTTTATCATTTTCAGATTTTATTAAGATATTCTGTAATACCGTACTGGAATATATTGTCTCCACTTATGTTCTCGTTCACTACACTTTTTCCTATTAATTTAAATTATCTAGACGGAAGTAGTTAATATTCATTTTGCTTAAAGTACAATTTCTTAAACTGTCCAATAATATTTGAAGAAATAAATCGTTATAGTAGATAAGTGTTTCCCAATGATGTTTATACAATCGACTAAATGAATTTGCGTGATTCATCAGGGTGACAATGAATCATAGAAACCAATTATTAATGTCGAATCTACAGTTGTATACATATCGAAATACAAGTAATTTGCTTATTAAGATTATATCTTTTCTTAATACAACAGTAGACAATCGTCTTTCAGAATATTAGAAAAAAATAAACTTGAATAAAATCTGCATAAAATTTGCTCTAATAAAATGAATTGTTAGGTCCTGTTTTCGAATCCTGAGAGGTGGAGTCGTAGATGCGCACTGCTGAGCAATCCCACAATATAGCGAAACAGCCGTCCAATGCTTCCAGGTTTTCCATGGTGGTCTAGTTTCAATTGACTCATGATATTCTTTAGTCATTGAATATTTACTAAGTTCAGAGATTAAAATTTTTTTTATTAATTTACCATTCATGATAAAATATTTAAATCCCTAATGAAATATGAAGCATTCAGTCATAATCATATAATAGTAAGTACAATTCCTAGAAAACTGATGAAAGAATGTGAATAAGTAAAGAAATGTCATTTTCAGTATAACATTAGTTAGACTTTTCCAAGTATATACTGATGACGTCATATAACGAGGCAACAAAACTTGTAAGTACTTTTACGTCTACTTCCTATTGATTTCTTTGTATAACAGTTTATTGACTTTTCCCATTTTCTTTTTATTTCTTTTTTTCCTTTCTTTTCAAAACTCAGTTCCACACAAATATTAAATAATCTTGAATCTTCAATTGAACAAAATTCAATTTTTACAGAAAATCTACCGTCAACCACAAAAATTAATCATGAAAATGATGATATGAATAATCAAAATGTTGAATTAAATGAGATCATTAAAAGACAAATTAATAAATTTCATAATGATAGTACAGTGATGCAAATTAATGAAACTACAATAGATTCACTTCCTTCTTGTAATAATAATAATAATAATAATAATAATAATAATAATAATAACAGTAATAGTAATCATGATAATGTTGACAAATATAATGATAATAATGGTGATGATGATGATGATGATGATGAAGACAGTTCAACTAGTCGTTATAGTACTGCAGAATCATCACCATGTGAAGACTTTGAACCAAATCTTAATAAAACTAATCAAATAAACAATCATAATATTGATAAACAAAATAACAAAATAATTGGAGAAAAAATTGATAAACTAAAACAAAATAAAAATATAAAAGAAAAATTAACAAATTCAACAATGAATAATCAAAGTGTAGCATTAGAATTTCGAACAATTGTTCAACGAGATGAATATGGTTATGGATTTCGAGTTTGTGGAAATAAACCAGTATCGGTACATAATGTTCGGAAAGGTAATATGTTTTTTTATATATCTGTACATTAATTTTACATATCGTCGTACATATACATGTAAACTTTGAATAAATAAATGTTCTCACTTATTTACTTACTTACGCCTGTTACTCCTCGTGAAAAAGCATAGGCCGCCCACTAGCACTCTCAATTCAACCCTGTCCTGGGCAATCTTTTTCAGCACTTTCCAGTTGTAATTCATCCTTTTCATATCTGCTTCTATTATCCGACGTAATGTGTTCTTTGGCCTTCCTGTTTTCCGCTTCCCTTCAGGATTCGAAGTTAGGGCTTGCCTCGCGATGCAGTTTGATGATTTGCGTGGTGTATGTCCTATCCATTGCCATCGTCTTTTCCTGATTTCCTCTTTATTTGGAATCTGGTTTGTTCTCTCCCACAAAAGGCTGTTGCTAATGGTATCCGGTCAATGGATGTTGAGTATCTTGCGTAGACAGCTATTTATAAATACTTGCACCTTCTTGATTGTGGTTGTTGTAGTTCTCCAAGTTTCAGCTCCGTACAGTAGAACTGCCCTGACATTCATATTGAAGATTCTCACTTTGATATTGGTTAACAGTTGTTTTGAGTTCCATATGTTCTTCAACTGTAGGAATGCTGTTCTTGCTTTACCAATCCTCGTCTTTACGTCTACATCTGATCCTCCTTGTTCATTGATGATGTTATGCAGATGCATGAAAGCGGAGACTAATTTTTAGAAATAATCACATGAGTTCAAAGTGATAAGAAATAACTTGTGGAGTTTCAATCATGACTGGTGTCAGACAGATATCGTAAATTTATTGAAGTAGTCTACAAACTATGTATTCACTTGTGAAATGGACAATCCTATACTAAGATGGAACCACTGTTCACTGCTTTCAAGTATTTAATAGTAGCCTAGCTAAAGCTACTCTATGAATTCAACTATAAAAATGCTACAATCTCCACATATACCCTATATTCGTTCAAAACTGTCTCAAATTATAATAATCAGATTAATGGTACAACCTAATTTTCGGAAATCTAACCACTACAAACAGTTACCAATTAGATTAGATTGTTAACAAGATACCTCACATATTATAGTCAAAGTTTTCTACTGTATATGTTTACTTTATAAACAAATAAGAAAAATGGTATGATAAATCATTTTATTATCAGAATGGCGATTGTGGAGATTTTAGAAATTTCACTGGTTGAAATCATGAGTCAATTGAAGCTAGACCACCATGGAAAACCTGGAAGCACTGAACGGCCGTTTTGTCCTAGTATGGGACTCCTCAACGGAGCGCATCCACGATCTCACCCCCTGCGAGATCCAAACCCAGGACCTATTGGTTTCGCGCACGAGCACTGAACCACTAGACCACTGGATGCGCACTCTTGAGGAGTCCCATACTAGGACGAAACGGCCGTTCAGTGCTTCCAGGTTTTCCATGGTGGTCTAGCTTCAATTAACTCATGATTTCAACCAATGAAATCATTTTATAACATTCAGTCAACTGTACTACACTAAAATTTTACACAATCAGTTGGTCGTCAATAAATGCAAACCACCATTTAGATTTTAAATAAGAAATAAGTTTTATGCATGTCTTTGATAAATTCAATTTTCTTCAAATATATTAAAACAAACTAGTTAATTTGTATTGCATTTTCTGCATTTGTTATGTCACTAATACTTTGTTGGTTAAATAATTCAAATGTAGTAGAAAAAAAGTAAAAACAAACTTCAATAATCGAGTGTACAAAAAAATAACATATCAGTTTTATGTTGTTAGGTTTTTCGTAAGTTTTTTAACGCTTGTACACAAATTTGTGTATTCACATTTTCACATAGAAATGTAAATGACCGATTCATAAAGTTTTTTCAGTTAGTCAACATAATTTACAGGTAATTGCACATAGAAAAGTGTTAAAGATATTTTAATTTAACCATTATTTTACCTAAAAGTAGAAAGAATTTATTGTCCCCTCTTTCTTTCTTTCCTTCTTTCTTTCTTCCGTTCTAGCTACTGTTTGTATTTTGTTCTTCTGATATTTCTCTTAACGTCTGAACATCATGAATTGATTTCTTTTTTTTTCTATTTAAAAGGCGTTATTATCTACATACATTATAGACAATTTGTTTAGATTATCATTTGTGTGTATATACATGATTCCTTGTTATACTCGTTTTTAATATACTTTTTAACGGAGACTGTAGGAAAAGATGAAAAAAGCATAAGTAATAAGAATTTATTGTGAAACACATACTATTCATTCAACGAATCATTCTTTTCATTCTTTTTTTGTGTTGCCGCTCTTTTTTTCTTGAAATTTCAAACACATTCCGTTTTGAATCAAAAATTTCTATAAGTTAATAAATAAATTAAAAGTTTCATTAAATATAGAATTGTAAATGTCGTTTGTTAATAATTCTCAAACTAAAACGATGACAACCAAACAATCATTCATGTTTTTAAGTGATACGAGTCCACAATTGAAATTACTGTCAATATATTCTTGAAATCATCTCATCTGATAGGTAGTAGATAGTTTTTGAAAAAAATACTTTACCAAGGAGAAAGCATTTATGAAAGCTTTAGACATGAAATGGATGGAATATGGTTGTTTTTTCCTTTCAGTATAAGAAGATGATCCCGTACAAGTTACTTTTACTTTGAATAAAGGAACCTACCTCTCCTGGCCCGATTTATTTTTATCTTTGCCTTTTCTTTATCTTTCTCTGGGCATAATTCATGAGACTGAGTAACACATGTCGTAGTGACTTTAACAGCAGACGGTTTAAACTATACGGGAATCGTTATATTCCCTACAAGACTGCACATTTTTCGTGTTATAAGTAAAAACCAGTAAGAAACCTAATTACAAGGCTTGCTGTTCATTATCTTCAACCAGTTAATATATAAAGATTACATTTATTCTTCCTTAGATGTGTTTTATGTAATTTGAATACAAACCAATAAAAGCCTTATACATATCACATATATATGACAGTAGTTTGAAATAATCAGTTCTTTTTGGTAAATTTAAACAACCCAATCAACAAACTAGTAAACTGTGTTCTAAATGATTTACTCGAACTAATCGTTTTGACATAACGTAGTCTAAATCTTCAAGGAAAGCAGAAAATAGGCTATCATTGTGTCAGTAATACACATGCATCCATACAGGAAGACATCAAAAGGTGTTTTCCTACATAACGTCGTTGAAAAAGTGAAATTTTTTACTTGTTGTAAATCTGACCCACTGTCTTACCTATGATCACTAAAACTGTAGATTGATGTATAAAATCTAGCAAAGAATTTCCTTAAGAGACAGTTCTATATTCTGTATACTTTTCACCACAGTTTCAGATAAGTCAAGGCACCATGAAACATGTATTTTAGTGAGATGTCATTACCCTACATGTTTACAGTAATTGGTACCTCATATGTAAATAAACGTGATTTTTGTTATCAGTACAATTCTAGTTCATAGTTTAAAAGCAAACGATTATTCAAGGGTATTATATCTATAATTATCTCCTTAACAATTACTATATTTTATTATTACAAAGAATTATAAGCTCGAAATGTATGTCATACCTCAGCAAAGTTAATTGCTATTGTTTATTTAAAATGCAAATCTTCTAAAACAATAAAAAGAAGTTTGTTTAACAAGAAGTATCTAGTGTTTATCTTAAACTACAACTATTAGTTAAAAGTTCAAGCAGAAATCGGTGGTGGCTAGCAGTGAAATCCAGGACGCACCATTGTTCCTGTTTGGGACTCGTCAGCTGGATATACCTGTAGGTACGAATGTCAAAAGACACCGATCAATTACACTCCTAAAGGTTAATGGGAATATCTAAACGACAGATGAACACAATTCAACTAGTTATATCTATCTAAAATTTTAATTCAACAGCCTGAAACGATAAGGGCATAAAGAAAAAGTGATTACATCTATAACAATAAGCTAGCACGTACCGATTCCTTTTATCCAAATGACTTCATGAAAGTTCTAGTAGAAACTCCGTAAATTGTAGAGGTTCACAATTCATAAAATAAGACAGGTGTTAAAGTGACGACAGCTACACTACTTTTTAAATTGCACAAAGTTACTAATGCTAATTGCTTCTCTTTTTCCTTAAGCCTGGTGAGTGAAAATCATTTGTTAGCTTACGCACCTATTGAGTGTTTCTCAGTTTTTAGTGGTTCTTGACTCTGTTATTAGTTCTTTATAGAAGTTATCTTGAGAAATTTTATGTAATCTGAATTTAAAAACCTAAGACTACTATTCCTTAATATTACAGGCAAATACTGACCACCAGACTCTGAACTGAACTGAAATCGTTATTTGAAAAACGCATAAGTTTTTATTATTATTACTGTTGAACGTTACACAAGTTCAGCATTTACAAACGCATAAGTTAAGCGGAAATGAGAATGAGCAACCTTTGCATAAATAAATTTATATGCATACAAAGTACTTACAAATGAAATAATTTTTGTTTCCCTATTTCATGATAAATATGTTTTGATTTCCTGTTAAAAGATTACTATAAACATGATAAAATAATCAAAAAGTGATAGAGTCCGACTGCAGCTATTTATACAGAGATCTATATAATATTTCCTATCTTGCAGATGTATTATTAGTTTACAACGACCTTACATAATTTTTCAACATTGTGTGAATGTGGGTACATGTTTTAAACGCACATACATCTACAAAAGTATACTTTTTGGTTAAATTACTATTGATATTATTCAATGCATTGAAGGTTTTTTACTAATATCGAATGAAAGAGCTTTGAGCTACTTACAATATTTCAGTAGTATAAACTAATATATTAAAATCGTCACTATAATAAGAACATTTAGACAAGCCAACTGACACAAAAATCGTTTAGGAAGTACAAATTCGAACAAAATAGAAAAGGAAATAAGATAAACGTAGGCTTTGGTAATTACATATGTAGTTTTACAATCGGTTGAGTAGAAGGGTGTTTGTC